GAGGAATGAAAGACAAATTCGCAGTGATCAAGATTAGCACAACACAGGGACAGAAACTCCTCAGAAAAAAATAAATACACCGGAGCTCAAGCAACCCTTTGAATTATACAACAAACAGAAGACTGTTTGGTATAGATCATAAGATGAACACCTCAGAAGTACGTCTCAGCGGGTATGGAGATACATCTTTTAAGAGTTGTGGGAAAATTACACAAAAGATGTGGAATTCATTATATCAGAGCATGGAAACAACCTATTTGGTTTAAGATTATGCACATGCCTAGGACTTGTTAAATTCCCTTGTGAGGGATACAACTGAGGAAATTATAGTATACAGCAACAAAGATCAGTTAGTAAAGGACAATCCAGATGTATTTGAAGGTGTTGGCAAGATAAACACAGACTACAAAATTTAGCTGTCTGATGATGCAACACATGTGATAAATCCAGCAAGAAGATTGCCAGATGCATTGAAATTGGCTAACAACGCTTGGAATCATCAGAGAAGTGCATTGTGTTGGTCACCAAGTCTAACGAATCACTACGCATCTTCTTGGATCCCCATGAGCTAAACAAGTTCATCAAAAGACAACACTATTATGCAAAATCACTTGATGATATCCTGCCAGACCTGAAGAACACACAACATTTCGCAACATTGTATCTACGCAGTGGGAATTGGAATATACCACTTGACACAGAATCAACTGCTAACAAGGTTTAGTACAATCTTTGAAAGATACTCTTTCACAAGATTGCTTTTTGGTCTGATATCTGCACAAGATGTGTTTCAAGATGTGTGACCTTGATAGAATCTTTGGACAAATAGATAATGTACACTGTCTTAAAGATGACATACTGATTGCAGCTGAAACTAGCACACATCATGACAAAGCAGTGCTAGATGCTCTGAAGACCTGTAGACAATACAATGTACCATAATAAGGTAAAACTGTTTGGACATGTTCTGAGTAAGGATGGTGTATCGCCTGACCCATCCAAGGTGAAAACTATCCAGAGGATGAAAGCACCAAAAGATAAGCAAGAATTACAGTAACTCCTCGGGTTTGTCAATTACTTGTTTAAGTTTGTAAAGTTAAGTCCACTCACTGAGCCGCTTAGAAAATGACTGCAGAAAAGTGTAGTATTTGAATGGTCTGTGAGTCATGATAAAGCACTTCACCAGATAAAGCAAGCCATAACAAAAGCACCAATATTAACATACTTCGATGCTAGTAAAGGTCTCGGGCTATTTTGCTGCAAAATGATAAACCTATCCACTTTGCTTCAAAAGCCCTAACCCCGGAAGAAGCCAACTATTGTAACATAGAACGTGAAATACTTGCTGTTGTTTGGGCAACAAGATATTTTATATACTATGTTTTTGGTAGACCATTTACCATCCACTCTGACCACCAGCCTCTAGAATCGATAGCAAAGAAACAAATCAACAAGATGCCAGCCAGACTACAGTGACTAATCCTACAAATTCAAGGACATAATTACAACATAAAGTATGTGCCAGGGAAAGATGTACCCCTCGCTGACTGTCTATCAAGATACATAAACACCAAACAAACAACCTTCCAAATACCTGATGTTGACGTACATATACACGAAGTCTCAACAATGAAGCCATTTGTCATTGACCACATCAGCGAACTCACTATCAAAGATTCAGTTTTCCAAGCCTTAGTCCCATACATCACAAAAAGAGAAGAACCAATGCAATGAAATTACCCATGCATATTGGTAGCATCGCTCCAAGTTAGCCATCCACAATGGTGTAGTACTAAAGGGTCATCGAATCATCATCCCAACGGAAATGCGAGACAGAGTACTCCAAATACTCCACAAACAACACAAAGGTATAGAAAAAAACACGCCTCAGAGACAATCAGTATATTGGCCTGGTCTGAATGCAAACATAGATTACATGATAAAAGACTGTAACCAATGTCAAACATATCAGAGAAGTCAGTCAAAACTCCCAGTACAAATAATCTACAGTACTGAAGCCATAAACATGGTTGGTTTGGACATTTTTGAATTTGATGGCTCCCAATACCTTTTAATCGTTGGTTACTATGCTGGTTATTTTGGGGCATACACACTTCATAACATGACTAGTTCAACTGTCATCAGCAAGATTGATGAAATATTCTCCATTTTTGGATACCCAACAGACTTAATATCGGACAATGGGCCACAGCTTACAAGCAGTAAATTTCAAGAATATTGCCAGACTTATGAGATAAGACATACAACCAGTGCACCCCATCACCAACAAGCCTATGGATGCGCGGAAAGTAAAAATATACACAGCGCCAGTGGCTAGTATTTATAGTTCACCAGCGGCTTGTATTTATAGTTGTGTGCGCTCCTTTAGTAGCGCTGTGCATGACGGGTGTCTTCCGCCATTGTTGTTGCTTTTCAATAAAGCTGTTTCTTATCGTTCACCGGTGTTTGTATCATTACTGGCCCAGTCAAAATTATGCTCAAAAAATCTCTTCAAAAATGGGAACCTGAGAGAAATCCTAACAACATTGAGAGACACTCCCATTACAGCTGATATTCCAACTCCATTTGCATTAATGTTTTCCAATAGAAAAGACCAATCTCCCATTTCTACAGTATGGACGCCATCAGTCTACACATAGTTATAAGGAGAAGATTGGACAGAGAGCAAATTCTTATGGAAGTCAAACGGACATTACACCATTCAAAACAAACTCTCTATGTAGATTTCAGAAAACACCAGGTTCAAATTAATAAATTATCGGACAGAAAATACACAGTGCTGACGCCTGACAGCACTCAATACCAACGTAATCTATCTCGCATCAAACCTGCACATGATAAGCCGACCATGGATATGCAAACCAATCCTACTGAAAGCAAGAACCACAAGGAATCAAAAACACACCTAACAAAATTAACCCACCAGCCAAAGAAAGACCAAAGAGACATTGCAAAAATCCAGCAATGTATAAGAATTGTGTATTGACATAAACTGTAATATTTGAAAAGCTCAAATGAGAGCTATGTTATTCAATTTCTATTGTGTTTATTGAGTTCCAGAGTTTTAAGTTGATTTAATATTTAGAAGTTCCATAGAAACTTATTATCTGTATCGATACACGACTATATATATTTCCATCCTAGGACTCTGAACCAGTACCTGAACATTTATTATTTAACACTTCGTGGATTAGCATTATTTAGCTTGAGGAGGGGGATGTTATGATATCACATATGTATAGTAACTGTAGTAGTGCGCCCTCTCTTGGCGGTAGCCATTGCTATCAGTTTCACGTGATGTAAACCAGAGTTGTTTAAGTTGAATTATTATAAAATGAGTTCATCAATACATAACAGAATCTAGACTGTCGACAGTCCTCAAGGCCTAATGTCGACAGTCTATATAGAATCATGCACCGGACATCACGGGAAGGCAATAACTGAAATTATACGGATTTTTCCACATACAAATGTATGTACATAACTCAGTAAAGGACTCGGGAGCATTGATCGGATATGGCGTTCAAATTAATACCAAATAATTATCTTTAATAGTGTCCCTTATGTCACCCCAAGGATCCCCATAGAATAATAGTCTACCCGGTATGTGTATCCCACG